GGCTATTTCTCTTTTTCCTCTTTTTTTTTGTCTAAAGTTTTTTTTTTTTTTAATGTATTTAGTACAGGGTCTACAGGGTCTCACTACACAGCTCAGACTTGTAGTGATCCTCCTGCTTTCAGCCTCCCATGCACTGGGATTACAGGCTTGTGCCACCACACCGTCTCAGTCACAGTTTCAGCATACCCCGGGGGTGAGGCTGGCATGGCATGCCAGGGATCGAACCCTGTCCCTGTGTCTGCCTAAGCAGGTGCTTTAATCTGCTGAGCTATCTGGCTGACCCTTCTCCTTCTCTTTTTTTACAGCAGTGAAAAGGTTTATTTATTTGCAATTTAAAAAAGTAAAAGTGAAGAAAGAGGGAGGAACTGGCTCTGCAGAGTGACCTTGGGCTGAAAGAAAAAAAAAAAAAGCAATATAAAAGTACAGTCTGGGGCTGGTGAGATGGCTCAGTGGTCTAAAGCACCTACTTAGAACAAACTAAGCTAAGCAAAGCACAGGGACCGCAGTTCAATCCCCCAGCACCACATGCCAGCCAGCCCCGCCCCCTGGTGGGCTGAGCTGGCCACACACACAAAATAAATGAATAAATAAAAAAAAAAAAGTACAGTCTGTGGTAAGCAGGACAGAGTATTGTGAGGGAAACTATGATAGCAAGCTTTTTGGTGCCTGTCCTTTTATACCATCCAATTCTTGGGGAAACTCATGAGAACTCTAGTTCACTTTTCAAGTGTTGGCTTTCTCATTGCTCCTCAAATTTCTCAGAAAACTCTTGTATTAAACAGTGCTTAACTTGCCTGGAATTCATATAATCTATAGAATATATCTAACATATAGAATAACAGTAATGTAGCTGGGTGTGGTGGCACACACCTGTAACCCCAGCACTGAAGAGGCTGAGGCAGGAGGATTGCTGCAAGTTCAAAACCAGCCTGGGCTACAAAGTGAGCTCAAGGCCAGCATGAACTGCACAGCAAGACTCTGTCTCAACAAGAAAAAAACAAAAAGTAATGTATATAATATGTAAAATGCATATTACAAATGACCTATGTATAATATAAAATAACTCATTTCTGATACTTGAGTAGAAACTAAGTTCTGCAAGGTCAGGGAATAATAAAAATGTGCTATTTTAAAGGGATATTACCTACTATTTGAAGGCTGGGCTTTTCTTTTGAAAACACTTCTGACAGGAAATGAGGGAGGTCAGGCATGGTGCTGCACACCTAGAATTCTAGCAATGTAGTAGGCTGAGGCAGGAGGCATACAGTTTGAGCCCAGTTTGGGCAACTTTAGTGAGAGCTTACCTCAAAATAAAATAGGACTGAGATTATAGCTCAGTATGAACGCTCTGGATTCATTCTCCAGTACAAAAAATTGTAGGAGGTGTCCTACAGTTCAATTCCAATACTACCTAGAATTAGTGGAGACTACACACCTCCCTCCACTTCAGATGCAAGGCTCCAAGAGGGTGTCCAGGGTACCCACACTTCTGCAGAACTACAAATTTGGGGCTTCCCATTCTCATTCTCAGGTTCAACAATTTGCTAGAATGACTCACGCAATTGAGGAAAGTGCTTTATTTATTTCTTTTGGTTTTTTTTTGAACCGGGGATTGAACTCAGGCCCTTGCGCTTGCCAGGCAAGTGCTTATTCTACTGAGCCATCTCCCTGGCTCCCTTTTGGTTTTTCTGAGGCAGTGTCTCATTATGTAGTTCCAGCTGGCCCTGAACTTGCTATGTAGCCCAGGCTAGCCATGAACTCCTGTAGATTTGACCTCAGCCTCCTGAATGCTGGGATCACAGGCCCAGCAACTTACTTACTATAGGCTGTGTATTCCTTATCTCAAATGATTGGGATCAGAAGTGTTTTGGAATTTTCAGATCTTGTAATGTCTGCATATGCATATCTTGTGGAAGAATCTAAGAATGAACATGACATTCATGTTTCACAGAGACCCTATACATACAGTGTGAAGAAGTTTTATGTATATATAATATATATCATTTAAGGTTAGGTGTGGATTTATCACTTCTGGTTTCACATTGCCACTTAAAAAAGTTTTAGATTTTGGGGGGCTGGTGAGATGGCTCAGTGGTCTAAAGCACCTACTTAGAACAAGCTTTGCAAAGCACAGGGACCGCGGTTCAATCCCCCAGCACCACATGCCAGCCAGCCCCGCCCCCTGGTGGGCTGAGCTGGCCACACACACACACACACACACACAAATAAAATTAAAAAAAAAAAGTTTTAGATTTTGGAACATTTTGGGGAATAGATATTTGAAGCTAAGTTCTGAAAGGGCATGGAATAATAAAAATGCAATATTTTAATTAAAAAATGTATTTATTACAGGGTCTCAGCACACAGATCGGATTTGTAGTGGTCCTTCCTGTCTTTCAGCCTCCCAAGTGCTGGGATTACAGGCACATACCACCATGAAAAATGTAATATTTTAAAGAGATATTAAATCACCATTTGAAGGCTGGGCTTTTCTTCTAAGAACACTTCTGACAGGAAACGTGCAGGGGGCCAGGCATGGTGCTGCACACCTAGAATTCTAATACTGTAGGAGGCTGAGGCAGGAAGAATCCAAATCTATGGTTTGGACTTGGTTATCCCCCAAGGAACTTTATGTTCAAGGCTGGGTCCTCATTGTGACAATGTTGAGCTGGTGGGACTTTTAAGTGGTAGAGCCTCGGTCTGTAGATCAGTAGGACACTAGTTGCCCTCTTGCACCTTGAGTGGTGATGGGATGGCTTCCTTCTGCACACTCCTGCCATTGCTACCTACCTGATGTGACACTGGAAAGAGACCCCTCTTCAGGGGTAAGACACTGCCAGCACTATGCCCTTGAACTTCCAAAACTGGGAGCCAAGTATACTTTTTCTTTATCAACTTAGCCTACCTTGAGCATGTCACTAGAGCAATGAAAATGGACTAAGACAGGACGTATTTATATAAAATTATAATATCAAAACATATAAAGGCTATATGTTCAGGAACAGCTAAGTGGAAGAGATGCACAGGATAAGGTACAGGGATCAGAAGGTGCACAGAGCTTCTATGCCCTCTCTGAGAACTGTCCTCCCAGCATCTCTGTATGTTTACCAACCTGGAAGCCTATGGAATCCTGCTGTTGAGGGTTTTATGAAGGTTTAAGGACATGGGCATGATGAAATCATTACAACTGGTGATTAACTCAGTCTCCAGCTTCTTTTCCTGTAAGGTCAACCAGGTAGCCATCTTAAAAAAAAAAAAAAATGGATCCATGTATTCTTCCTTCGAATAAATTCCATATATCTCAAAGATTCAAATCTGAGCAATGACATCATGTATGCACCCACCCACCCACCCTCCAGGAACACCTTGGGATTAAAAATCCTGCAGGTTTAAGGGAAAACAGAAAACAAAACAAAAATCTTCATGCTCCAAAGACTTTCAGAAAAATCAAATATACATGCAAAGTAGAAAATATTTGTAACATATCACAAGATATTATATCTATCACTAGTACATAATCAACTATTACAAATCAATACAGAAATGACAAAACTATTTAGAAAATTGGGTAAAGAATATGAACAGGCAGTTTACAGAAAAGGGTAATTGACTCTTAACCTTAACATTACTTAAAAAGATAAAAGCAAATTAAAAATATTCCACTGTTTTTTCAACTATCAAATTCCCAAGAACCACATATTGATAATTTAGTATTAAACAGCAAGGACATGACTATGCTTATTAATTGCTAGTGGGCGTGTAAAGTGATAGAAGGCAACTTAGGAATATCTACAATATTTCAAGTGAATATTTTGGCCCAGAATTCTCATTTCTATAAATTCATCCTATGTATGATATAATTAACCAACAATCTAAGCTACTCATTATAAGATGCATAAGTTTCATGAAAACCTCAGGAAAAATACTGTGTTTCACCATCAAATACAAGTAGTACCCCAACTTGAGAATTTCAAATATGAAAACTGCATTTAGAATTGAAGCCATACTGTATTTGCATACACGCCACATGATATGCCTAGAAGACAAACTACTATAGCCATTATTATTTTACCAATAGCAAATGGTGGAAAGCAACTAAGTGTCCATGAATATATTTCTGGTTAGTAAAAACACATCAACAGAACAGAAAAAAAGCAGCTTTAAAAAAGAACAGGGGAGGGCCAACCAAATAGCTCAGCGGATTAAAGCACCTGCAAGCAGACACAGGGGTCTGCCATGCCAGCCCCACCTGCCGGGCGCAACGAGACTGGGTGTGGTGGCTTGTGCCTGTAATCCCAGCTCTTGGGAGGTTATAAACAGGTGTATCACTATGAGTCCGATTTAGTAGTGAGACCCTGAACACCCTGTAGACCCTCCTGCCCCCCAGGAAAAAAAAAAAGAGTAAGGAAATATAGTGATTTGGAAGGATTTTTTTTTTCTTTCTATATTTTGGGAAAGCGTCTACTGGGTGTTCAGGGTCTCACTACTAGATTGGACTTGCAGTGATTCTCCTGTTTACAGCCTCCCAAGTGCTGGGATTATAGACGAGCACTATGCCCAGTTTTAATTGCTGGCTCAGCGTGCGCCGGGGGCGGGGCCAGCATGGCAGGCCCGGGGATGGCAGGATCTTAAAGAAAAGCAGTATGCCAACTTTTGTGAAGAAATGGCAAAGAATAAATCCAGATTCACATTTGCTTGTGTAAACAGAATGAAAGTAGGACAGAAAAGACTGGTTGAATGGGGATAAAGAATAGGGAAGACATTTCACTGTATATTTTATATTCTTGGGACTAGTGAATAGATGACTTAACTGAATAAAAGGAAAATCCAGAAATTTGGTCTTTTTGAAAACACACTTTATCATGGAATATATACAATATTTAGTTTGCTTGCCTTTGACATGCCGGAGAAAATAGACAATCAGCTTAACACTAAAAATTTTTGATGAATACAACATGAAGACAGCACATATTCTGACAATGTCAAATTCTTTCCATAGCCCTGCAGTCCTAAAAACAACTGTCATTCTTTATTCTTATAATCACTATCTGATAATTTCTTTCTTCATTATGGGCTTAAATGCTGGCAAGTCTTCTTCATCAAATCCTTTTCATAAGACCATCTTTTACATTCTAATGAAGCCATGTCGAGAAATAGTTACTGTAATGCAAGGGGAAAGAATCTGGATCCATCACAAAGTCGGAGAATGTCACAGGAGCCTTACAGAGGCTTTCGACATTTTAAATATTTTTTCTGTTGCTTTTTTCACGGTAATTCTTTTTCTCCAACTGCATACTGTCTGATTCCCAATACACTTGGACTATTCAAAATCAAGTTGCAGGAATGGTTGGACACGAAGGTGGAGGCTGTCTGGGAGTTGTTGCAGCACTGCTTTTTATTCTCTGTTGATAAACCTATCACAACCAAGTTCTTCTATCAGAGGATTGATAACTTCGGATGCAGTCAGGGCTATGGTAAATGTTAAAATGTCAAAATCCACCCGCTGAGGATTGCGCATATACTCAGCATCAAACGCAGCTTCCCTAGCTCTGCAGGCTTCCACAAATCGCCTGCGGCGTTCTTCCAGCTCCTGGATTCTGCCCGGGGCTATCGGGTAATTTTCCAGATACTGGCGGAGAAACTGCTGGTAATTAATTCCTAAAACGCTAAGAGGGTGACGGAGGCGGAGATACGGCAGCGCGGCTAGGCTGCCCGCGTTGCCGGCTCTGGACCTGGGCCTGTTCTCAGGACCCTCTTCCTCCAGAGGCTCCCCCAACAACCGGGCGACCTCCGCCATCCGGACTTCCCTGGACACCGCCCCCATCTGGCTTTCCCTGGCCGCCGGTCCCCCGCGGGCCGCCGCCGCCGCTGCCGCTGCCGCCGGTCCTTCCCGGGCCGCCGCCGTCGGGGCTCCCCTGGGCGCCGCCGCTTGGGCTCCCCTGGCCGCCGCCGCCATCTGGGAGGCTCTGACTGCCGCCGCTGCCACCGGGATCCCTCTGGCCCTCGGCGGGGCTCCCGCAGTCGCTGCCACCGGGCCTCCTCGGGCCGCCGCCAACGGGCCTGCCCTGACCACCGCCAACGGGGCTCCCCTGGCTGCCAGCGGGCCTCTCCGGGCCGCCGCCGCCGCCGCCACCGGGCCTCCCCGGACCTCCTCAGGCCGCATCGCGGTCGGGGTCGGGCCCCGCCTCCCGCCGCCTACCTCCGCCTGAGGGAAGCCGTCTTCGCCGTCCGTGACGACCGTCTGCAAGACAGTGATTTCTGTGGGCAGCTGGGACATTTCGGATCGCAGGGTCCGTCAGGCCGCTACCAGAAAACCTGGAACAACGGGACAGCGCGATTACGGGTGTGCACACAACTGCATGTACGTGAGCGCAATGCGCACCTGTGACCGCCGCGTGCACAGGCGGCGCGCAAGCGCGGCGGCCGCCGCGAAACCTGCGCATGCGCCTTAGCTGGGCACCCTCGCGCCTCCAGATGCCGCCTAGAGGGCGGAAGTGCCAACGCATCTGAGAAGGTGGACCCTCGAAGGGCGGGGCCGTGCTTTACATTTCTAACAGTTTAATTTTTTTTTTCTTCACATTTTCCAAAGTGACTTTATTTAAGAAACACAGAAACAGAACAGAACACTCTGTAGGGCCTCTTCCCTCCGTACAAGATAATGTTAGTATTATCGCTATGCATTTTTACAAGCATAAGCCTTAAAGTATACACGCAACACATGCGGATATAATGGTTATAAGCAGATGAACTGTATTCATTAAGAAATAGGTCAAAACCCAAAATTTATAAACACATATAATTACGGCTGGTAGTTTATGTGCACCCCACCTTGCAACTGTGGTCATGTGCAACTGCTCTGATAGGTGATCTAAATCCTCGGGCCAGAGCAATCCAAAACCAGGATGGGGGTTGAAGGGATAGCTCGGCGTTCCGGCTGCTTGCCCAGCACGTGCAAGGCCCTGGGGGCTAGTGCCAGCACTGCAAAAGCCAAACAAGCAAAGCTCGTAATAGGGCGCCACCAGCCAGAACCAAGATTTATTTTTTTATTTTTTTGACAACTCATACAGAATTTTACTTAACAAAGTAATATGAATTTCACAGTATTTGTTGTAATACATGGTATTGTCTTACAACCAGCTATTCATATTACCAGATATTGGAAGAAGAAAAAACTGGAGCAATGTATAAGAAATTAAGAAAAGAAAAAGTACAAA